ATTGAATTACTGTTTATCCATTTGACAACGCAGATGTGTAAACAGATATCGCATATACTTTATACGTAAGCTAATAAGTATAAATGAAAAATATATACCATCACAATTGAATAAGTATATATAACATGAACATATCTTGTCAAGATAAAAAAAGGCACAAAGACATATTTACATATTATGAAAGAAAAAAAATCGATGGTTGAATTTACCTATTCAAGGAGGCTACAGAAGCGATAAGAATGGACAGTTTGTGTAAGGTTGCATAATAGTTTTGAAAACGGCCGGTTTTCTGTATTGAAAAAAGAACTTTGACAACACCAAAAAAAAGTTGGCATTAAGAAAACGACAAGTTACGTTGATTCATAGACCAATAATAAAAATAAATATACCTTCATACCTTCAGTAATACGTTTTAAATTTTGTAAAAGAACAGAGATTCACTTTGTTGTGCGCTGGAGCATGTTCTAATTAATGAAAAGAGTTGCAAAAAACGTTTAAAATGGGCTCGAGAACAATAAAAAAATAGGTCGGCCCAAATCATTGGATCACCTCTGGCTTTGTATTACAACATCATACCATTATTAAATAAATTAGCGAATGCTTTTATACGATTCATTACGTATTATTAAGAGTTAATGTGTAAATGGTCTTGTTTATTAATAAAATCACTTACGTACGAGATTAGCCTAAGATCATTATCTTACTTATTATATATATATATATGTTTACATCGGTAAAAGGGATTTTGTGGATTTAAGACTATATATGATATATAGATAGTATACATCGGGTGTATGTCCGTAGCCTACCCAATATAGCTCAAATAGGTGTACATAGGCAGATTCATGTTACAGGCACATTCTACATAGACCTGCATCGGTCGATATAGTCTTATATTAGATTGCTTACCGTCTTCTATGGTTATATACCTATATATATATTTTGTATTAACATCCAAGGCCCTTTTATGTGTTATTTTATTTTTTATCCACATAGCACCATATAAATGGATAAAAGGTAAAATTTTATAATTATTTTAATAATCTGAAATAAAAAAAAGGTTATTATGTAGTCTTATTACAGATATTTAAAACGTATGTAGTGGGAATAAAAGTAGTAGTAAATTATAAACTAAGCTATAGTTTATAAGCACATGGTATAAAATATATGTAGTTATGTTCTCTTGCCTCTTAATTTCTTGCTCGTTTGCGTCTGTCACCTGCATCATTGCTTGCCAATTCCAAAGCTCTTTTGTTTGCCTTTATAGCTACGCGACGGACTTTTTCCTTTCAACATCCTCCCAGGTTACAATTGATGATAATTTATCATCAGTAATTTCTTTGTTTTCAGACCTAGTATGTCGATCTGCAGCATGATTCGTCGTGAGAGAAGTTATATGCATTCATGCAACCTTTGCTGCCGCTATTTTGAAATTCCGCACTCTGAATAATGAGAAGCAGTAAAGAGTCGCGTTTTTTTTTTCTACTTTTATTTCTCAAGAATGAGTTCTTTAACTAGACGCTCAATCAAAAACAACAAAGTTAACAATGAAAATAATAAACAGAAAAGTCAATTTATGGAACGCTCAGGAAAATATTATCACTTTTTTTTTGTTCATTGTTGCTGTCAAGGTTCAATTTAACTTTTTTTGCTCCTTTTTTTCAGAGCATGGAACTAGTAAGCGGATTCGTGCGTCCCGAAGGGATGAACTACTTGAACAAGGTAAAAACTAAAACATAGCTTAACTTCGCGTCATGATTATTTATAATTTGATTAATCATTCTATTAGCCTCCAATTCAACACATAAAACAATAAAAAATATACGTCTTAACAAAAGGCAAAAGCAGAGCCAGGGATATATGTATTATGGAATTAAGAAAAAAAAAGTAGAGAACATAAAGTCAATTGACTCTTAGAAATTATTTCATAAATTAATAAATAGATTACAATCCCTAAGAAGAAAAAAAGCAAGAAGTAGAAGAATAGGAGGAGAAAGAAGAGGAAAAAGAAGAAAATGGTGATACGTAACTGCTAATAAATAAATTGCCTCTTTTAATTCTTTATTAATCTGTTTCACAATTAGGACAGGGTCAGCGTAAAGCCATTGAAGTTCCTGAAGAATATTATAAAAGTGACGACGACTATGAGTCAGGTCAGTGTTGACTGTTTATAGGGGTGTGGTGCAAGAATGGTATATGATATTTCGATAATATTATAACGTAGCACTATTTTTTATAGGTGATGAAGAAGTGATTGCATGTGGCAAAAAAGGTAATTGCACTGCACATAATATATGACATTTGATTCTGAAACATCAGAGCTAACATTTTGCGTAAGCATCTCTGTAAAAATCCTTGCCAAAGAATATCGCTACGGAGGTATGTATTTATTTTTTTGTATGAATGTGTATATATTTGCTGGTGAATTAAGTACTATATTAAAATATTAATTTTTATAGGTGCTTCTGGAATAAATTACTTAGACGAGCTTATAAAGCAAAAAGGTCTTGCAAGGGCTCTTGCAGCTCATAATTTTGAAGGTTGATAAGCCTTTAATCTGAATTTATACTTGCGTGTTATTGAAATTATTCTCATTACGTTATCATTTATTTTTATATATAGTCTCAAGTTCCTCTGTTCAACGGATCGAGCCAAATAGGTCAGTTTTTTCATATTTTTTAATCTAATAAACTTGTTAACCAAATGAATATATAATATATATTGTGGGAAATGCCCAATCATAATTAGATTCGACTATTTTTCTGTCCCATTGCCTGAATTAAGAGAAGACCAAGGGTTGTAAGTAGAGCTTTATTATTTCAATATGAAATTATGAACTAACGTTCTTTATTGTTTACTGTCTTGGATTGGTCTTATCACTGGAAAATATAAAATATGAAAAGAGTTTATTTGATGATTTAGCGAATATCGATAGGTATGTTAGAGATGCATTTGTGCAAGGCCTAGATTCGAATGATGGAGCTTTGGAAGTATTAAAAAAATTCACCGAATTCATCCTAATAATACTGAACCTTACATATGTTCCGAAAAATATAAAAATAGGGTATATAATCTAATATAAGTGTTGTCTATGCGATTTTTATTCAGAAGCATTTACTAAGAACGATTTTTTAGTACAAACATGTATCCACGTACTAAGAAAGACATATTATATACAAGTTAAAAATTGAATACAAAGATCTATCGATGGTTTGTCAATGAATTATCTGACGAGGCTCCATATAATGACAAGGAAAATACAAATTTTTATTAACCGATGGAAGGTACGAAATGGGGTGGTTGATGTAAAAGCATACTTACATATAAACCAAAAAATATCTATAAATAATATGATTTTCTCGTCGCGATTATCGTCCTAATGGAGCATTATTGAAAAATAGCTGTCATGTAAACTGTATAAAGTATATATGTTTGAATCGTGGAGGGAGCTCGGGCCCACGTTTCAAAAAATTTCTGATCCAGTATTTAGGTCTTTGATGGGTTTGCCTCATGTAGCAGTAAGTGTAAACTATTTTTAGTATGTTTCATCTCAGTGTTTATACAGTACATATAGTACCTTGACATACATATCATAGATCATGTACCGCAAAACTAAGTGATAGCGAACTCTCATAAGATAATGAAGGAAAGGAATTCAGCCGTTCATCAGCTTATTATAAGACACATCGTTTTATTCTTGATTTAACTTCATCTTTGGGACGACGAATTCATTGGTTAAATGTATCAGGAAAAGTACATGAGGGGTTGCGTGAAAGACAGAATAGTTCCAGATGGTCAGCAGGAGCCTTAGTAAGAATACATATCAGATGATAATAATAATAATATTTAGTATATATTATTAGCAGCGTAGTGAGTGATTTTCCGATTTAATCAATGCTAATAGTATAGTATAAACCGTAGATGTAATGGATAAAGATTGGAGCTTGCTTTCATAAAATAAAAAAGGATTATAATACAAAAAAATATTTTATTGATGTGGATATTGTGTAGCTGTATATAGCCCTCAATTACTATAGTACATATTCATTACTATAGGGAGATATAAAACTTTACTAGTTTAGTTATACAGGCATATATAACAGTACTTGCCTACCTATATAGGCCTATATGTCATATGTGAGAGTAAATAGGATAATGAGTCTCTGATGTTGCATATGTAGGGTATATAGGCCGATATATGCTGATCTATCTCTAAAAAGCCTATGCAGCTATTACCGATGTACTACATATTAAATGCAGTATTTAAATTTAATAACAACTGAATTCACATTATAAAGACTCAATAATACATACAGACATAATATCTCTGTACTAGATTTGATTATCTTAAAATCATCATCGCTTAACATATATTATCTCAAAAGAACTTGAGTTATCATATGATATTAAACAATTACGTTGTAATATCCAATAATATTACTGGTGCTCACTATAAAAATACACAAGTATCTGTTGTCGCTGAGTAAATATATCTACTTATAAATTTATATAAAACCCTCAACACCAGCTACAACGCCATCATATATGATGTTGTTTGATATCCGTTTAATGATTAACCCATCTTGATTTTTCTCTTCTTTTATCATTACCACATACAGTATAAGTATATCTCGTCTGGTTTCCAAGCGGATGCATGCTAATATATCCATTGCATGCACGTTTTTCACATCCGAAATTGTCCGTTAGTAATGTTCACAGAAGATAAATAATGTTTTATATACTTTTTTAGACCAACTTTAGCAAAAATGGACCACTTTTTTTTCTCGACCTTCGAACATCGCGGCCACCTCCTTAGGGTCTACCTCAGACCAAAGAGGGTCCAACTTGAACCAACCTCAGACCATCTTAAGGCCCAACTTCAAACCAACTTCAAACCAACTTCACATCAAGTTTCACACCACCTTAGTCTTAAACTCTAAACCAATTTCCTTTGAATAACTGGACCATCACGGATACTCCACTTGTAAATATCTATATCATGTCAGCCAGTAGATTAGAACTACTAAATCCCCGATCATCATCAATCGAAGGCTTTACCACTTCAGCTAAACCAACACCAACTTCAAAAATGCCCTACTACCACTATAAACCAAACAATCGCTCAACGTTCGGTTGAAGCACTTTATCAAAAAAATAATAAAATGTATTTCACCCATCTAGGCAAAAGAAAATAAAAAAATTTTAAAGTTTTTTTTTATTATAATCAGCCGAAGCGGTTGATTTGAATATGCCCTCAAAAAGAGAAGCAAATTCTAAAACAAGGGCTTAATCTCAGTACATCGTAGCAACAAAGGCTACTCTAGCACGTACAATACCCCGTCAACATCAAGTCGTCTGCTTGTGATCAAACGTCTCAACGCTAGTTATTATAATGAGGTCTAATCAAGCCTACCTTTCCGTAGACAGGACCAAGCCCAAATAGGTTTTCAAGACCAAAAGGTCTTTATTTGTACCAATCTCGCACGTTGACCCACATAGGATATCTTGTCCAGCATGGATTCTGACTTAGAGGCGTTCAGCCATTATCCAGCAGATGGTAGATTCGCGGCATTGGCCTTTCAACCAGCCGCATATACCCATTATCTGAAACACAGGGGCGACTTGTAACGGAACAACGCGGCTCCGAACCGAAACAGCGCGGCCCCACGGAACAACGCGGCCACTTCCTTAGGGTTGGCCTCCGAGTATCGAGGGTCCAACTTGGACCAACCTCAGACCAACCTAGGTCTAACTTAGGGTCCAACCTAGGGTCCAACTTCAGACCAACCTAGGGTCCAACTTCAGACCAACTAGGGTCCAACTGCAGACCAACTTCGGCTAGCCTCAGACAAAGACCTCGGTCAAAACATTTAGAGCCATTTGGTCTTAACGTTTTTAAATAACCTGGTCTTATATTTTGGCTCAAGGTAGACCCATGGGGTCCCAACTACCCTACCAACTTGGGCCATCCGAGACCATCTTGGTCGTCAGATATAAAACTAAGTTCGTGAACCCCATACACGGAACACCGCGGCTCTCCGAAACACCGCGGCCTCTTCCTTAGGGTCGACCTCCGAGTATCGAGGGTCCAACTTGGACCAACCTCCGACCAACTTAGGTCCAACTTTCAAATCAACCTAGGGTGCGAATCTAGGTCCAACTTCAGGTCCAACTTGGACCAACCTCCGACCAACTTAGGGTCCAACTTTCATAGCAACCTAGGGTCCCAATCTAGGTTCAACTTCAGGTCCAACTTGGACCAACTTCTTAGGTCCATCTTCGACCAACCTCCGACCAACTTAGGTCCAACTTTAAAATCAACCTAGGGTGCCAATCTAGGTCCAACTTCATACCAACTTAGGTCCATCTTCGACCAACTTCCGACCAACTTAGGTCCAACTTTCAAATCAACCTAGGGTCCAATCTAGGTCCAACTTCGGGTCCAACTTGAACCAACTTCATACCAACTTCTACCAGCCTCACACTAAGGCCTCGGTCAAAACTTTTAAAGTTATATCGTCTTAACCTTTTTAACTAACTGCATTTTATATTTTGGACCAAGGTAGACCGATAGGGCCCAGCTACCCCACCAACTTAGACTATCCCAGACCATGTTGGTCTTCTTGAGATATAAAACTAAGTTTGTCTACCCCATACACGGAAGAGCGCGGCTCCCTGGTACACCGCGACTTCTTCCTTAGGGCCGACTTCAGACCAACTTAGGTCCAACTTCGACCAACCCCCGACCAACTTAGGTCCAACTTGGGGTCCAACTTTCACATCAACCTAGGGTGGTAATCTAGGTCCAACTATCACATCAACCTAGGGTGTCAATCTAGGTTTAACTTAGGTCCAACTTGGACCAACCTCCGACCAACTTAGGGTCCAACTTTCATATCAACCTAGGGTGCCAATCTAAGTCCAACTTCATACCAACTTAGGTCCATCTTCGACCAACCTCTGACCAACTTAGGTCTAACTTTCAAATAAACCTAGGGTGCCAATCTAGGTCCAACTTCATACCAACTTAGGTCCATCTTCGACCAACCTCCGACCAACTTAGGGTCCAACTTTCATAGCAACCTAGGGTCCCAATCTAGGTTCAACTTCAGGTCCAACTTGGACCAACTTCATACCAACTTAGGTCCATCTTCGACCAACCTCCGACCAACTTAGGTCCAACTTTAAAATCAACCTAGGGTGCCAATCTAGGTCCAACTTCATACCAACTTAGGTCCATCTTCGACCAACCTCCGACCAACTTAGGGTCCAACTTTAAAATCAACCTAGGGTGCCAATCTAGGTCCAACTTCATACCAACTTAGGTCCATCTTCGACCAACCTCTGACCAACTTAGGTCCAACTTTCATATCAACCTAGGGTGCCAATCTAGGTCCAACTTCATACCAACTTAGGTCCATCTTCGACCAACCTCCGACCAACTTAGGGTCCAACTTTCATATCAACCTAGGGTGCCAATCTAGGTCCAACTTCATACCAACTTAGGTCCATCTTCGACCAACCTGCGACCAACTTAGGGTCCAACTTTCATATCAACCTAGGGTCCAATCTAGGTCCAACTTCAGGTCCAACTTGGACCAACTTCATACCATCTTCAAAACATTTAGAGCCATTTTGTCTTAACCTTTTTAAATAACTTGGTCTTATATTTTGGACCAAGGTAGACAACGGGGGCCCCAGCTACCCCACTAACGTAGACTATCCCAGACCATCTTGGTCGTGAGATATAAAACTAAGTTCGTCTACCCCATACACGGAACAACGTGGCCTAACGGAACACCGCGGCCTGTTCCTCAACCAACATTTTCCCTCATAGACTCCTTAAGGTCAGAGACTAAAAAGTCGGTTCTCCTGTAGTACCCTACTGCCAACGCAATGGACAAGTGTACATTAAGGAGTGAGAAAAGTTACTATGCGATTACCGCACTACACCCTCTTCTCATAGTACCATAGGGGGGTAAAAGTCCTATTTGTGATCCCGCAAGACATGCCCCCTCAGATGATTTGTGGTAAATAACGAAACACCGCGGCGACTTGTAACGGAACAACGCGGCTCCGAACCGAAACAGCGCGGCCCCACGGAACAACGCGGCCACTTTCTTAGGGTTGGCCTCCGAGTATCGAGGGTCCAACTTGGACCAACCTCAGACCAACCTAGGGCCAAGTTGGTCTGACTTGGTTTGGTATAAAAATCAAACATTCATTAATCTCTCATTTCTTAATAAAAACAATTACTTTTTTAAATTTTATCGATATTATATCTTTCATACTCTTCATAAATATAAAAAATGTCAAAAAAAAAAAATTAAAAGCAACTTTTTTTTACCTCCAATTTTTTTCTTTTTTACGTTTTATTGATTTTTGCTTATCACTTTAATTTTTTTTTTTTTTTAACTTTTTTTATCTTTTCTTGATTTATACAAGAGACATATAGACTAACTAGCGGTTTATCTTTTAACGTACGGCCATACAATGGGGAAAATACCGGATCCCGTCCGATCTCCGCAGTCAAGCCCCATCTGGCGCGGTCAGTACTATGGTGGGGGACCACATGGGAATACCGCGTGCTGTAAGTTTTTTTGTTTTTATATATATTTTTATATACTTTTTTAGACCAACTTTAGCAAAAAATGGTCTTGAATTGGACCACTTTTTTTTTTTCTCGACCTTCGGAATATCGCGGCCTCTTCCTTAGGGTCGACCTCCGACCAACGAGGGTCCAACTTCGACCAACCTCAGACCAACCTAGGTCCAACTTAGGGTCCAACTTGAACCAACCTCAGACCATCCTAGGGTCCAACTTCAAACCAACTTCACATCAAGTCTCAGACCACCTTAGTCTTAAACTCTAGACCAATTTCCTTTGAATAACTGGACCATCATGGATACTCCACTTGTAAATATCTATATCATGTCAGCCAGTAGATTCGAACTACTATATCCCCGATCATCATCAATCGAATGCTTTACCACTTAAGCTAAACCAACACGAACATCAAAAATGCCCTACTACCACTATAAACCAAGCAATCGCTCAACGTTCAGCCAAAGCACTTTATCAAAAAAATAATAAAAACTATTTCACCCATCTAGGCAAAAGAGAATAAATAATTTTTAAAGTTTTTTTTTTATTATAATCAGCCAAAGCGGTTGATTTGAATATGCCTTCAAAAAGAGGAGCAAATTGAATGACAAGGGCTTAATCTCAGTACATCGTAGCAACAGAGGCTACTCTAGTACGTACAATACCCCGTGAATTATACCTAGTAATGTTGAAGCTGATATGGCTAGTTGACTGAGTAACGTATCATTATGTACGTTGTATATTCGGGTGAGGAAACCATCAATTTTTTTTGGGGGGATTCATACGGTGAATTCATGTGATTGTAATTGCATATGAACAATAATTAGAAGAGATATGCAGGGATGTACGGGAACAGTAGAAATAATAAAATAAAAATAACAAGTAATTCATTGTTATTGTCGATACATATACTGGTTTATGAATTAAAAATAAAAAGAAGTGTAATGATCAGCAGAATAAGGTATTTTAGGGTGATTAAAAAAAAACAGACATACAGGTTTAATACCAGATGATAGATAGTTGCATGATCAACAGAGTAATTAAAAACCAACTTTTTTTATTTATTTTGATAGCTGCATAGATGCATGTTTTTCGGGTATTTTTTTTTTGGGTGATTCATTTCATCACATGCGATTAATTGGCACTATTACTTTATTAAAGTACTGACTATTTTTTTTTTGTTTACGTACCAATAGTTTGGTTCTCATGAGTGTCTGGTTCCTTCTTTTTTTGAATGATGAAAATGATAATGCATGAATAACTGAACTTATTTTATTTATGAAAAGATATTTTATTGTGCACGTGGGGAATATTCTTTATCTCTTTGGTGCCCTTAATATTTGGGGGTACTTTTTTTTTTATTTTATTTTTCTTTGACAGCAATGATGATAGTGTACGCACAAATAAACAGTAAACTGTTTTTTTTTTTTTTGTTTTTTTTTTTCAACCGGGTAGATATAGTTATCTTACT